TGGCTATTGAAACCTTTGCAGTGGCAGTTCAGACAGACCCAGATATCTGAGGGGTACGCTGCGGTCCACAAGCAGACAAGTTTGCAGATGACCTTCTGATGTTTTTTATCTCTCCGTTAACCTCTACCCCCAAAGTGGTTCACCTATTATGAGAGTTCAGCAGGGAGTCGGGTTTGGAAGTTAATATCACTAAGTCATTAGCTCTGAATGTCTCTGTTCCACTAGGATTGTTTACCCGACATTGGGATTCATTTCCCTTTGAGTGGAGTGACTCTTATACCCCGTATTTCCGTGTGTGCAGCGGACAGCCGCTATGGAATCTCTTTATGGATTCAATTATCCACTTTTTCGTAAGCTTGAGGCAGATCTACAAAAATGGTTGGCTCACACTCTTTCCTGGCTGGGCAGACTGCATTCAGTAAAAATGACTTTGCTCCCACAACTTCTGTATTACTTTTGGTCTCTCCCCATTCTTGTTCCACATGTGGTTTTGGAGAAATTACAGTCCTCAGTAATCAGGTATGTTTGGAGCAACAAGGGCCATTGTTTCACTAAAAAGATCCTCCTCTTCTGTCCTAAGACAGTTATGACAGAACTGGGTTGGGACTTCCGGACTTTCAGGCAGCTCAATTGACCCAACTTTCAGTGGTGTATAGGAGAAGTAATAAACCAGATTGGGTATATATGGAGAGGATGGCAGTCCCCGATTTCACATTAGATTATTTACTTTGGTGTCCCCCTCAGAACCATCTGCCTATATTGGCTCCGCTGCTGTCTCAATCGGTCAGAAATTAAGGCATTTATAAGGTGGCCAGACAAGGGGCTATATCGGATTAGACAGTATTTTACCCATAGAGGGCCCTTTACATTGCATTATTGTGTCGAGGTTCTAGAAGTGCCCCAAACGGAACAATTTAGTTTCATTCAGATCTCGCATTTTTTGCGGTCCCTCATACCCAATAAGCCGGCTTAATATAGGGTCTCTCCATACGAAAAGTGGTGCACACAGGACACTGGCCAAGGAGGTGGTGTCTCTCTCATATATGGACTGCTACTGGATTCTCTTTCCAAGTTTTCTTATATGTCTGACTGGGAACAGGATCTTGGGGAATAGGTTGAGATTGATGTCTGGCATAGGCGTTTTTTGAGATCCTACTCTGGTATTATAAATGTATTGTATCTTTGATAGAAGCTAATGTTAAACTACTTACCTGCTGGTACGGTTAGCTAAAATGTATCCATTGGTTTCTCCTCTCTGTTTCAGAGGATATGGCAGGAATGGATCCATGTTTCATATATGGTGGGAATGTCCACGGTTGAGAGGCTTTTGGAATGGTGTCTTTGCTATTTTACGTAGAGCTACAGAGCTGCTCATTCCTCAGACTCCTTTGGTGGCTCTGCTTAATGCAGCAGTGAAGGATGCCCCTCGACATGCTTGATTTTCTTTGTTCTGCTGGGGGCAAAGATAACCATTGCTAGGACTTGGAAGTAGCCTTCTGTGACCCATGCGAAGAAGATTGTCTGGATTATGTTGCAGGAGAATGCTGTTAGCATACTGCACGAAACTGTGGGTAGATTTGAAGTACGTGGGAGCCCTGGGCAGACGAGTGATATATATCACTTGGTTTTCATGCTCCAGACCTATTTTTCTGACTCTTTTTCTTCTTCTCTTTCTTCTCCTTTCTCTCTGGTAGTCTGTCACCAGTTTCGAAGGAGTATTTGAGGCAGGCACCTGAGGAATCAGGTGCTGGGGGCTCCCGTTCTGGGAGATAACAAAATGATTCATAGGGGATGATGAATATTGTTCTTCTTTGGTTTTACCTGAATTTAGCTGTTAGAGCTGGACACTTCTGGATTGTGTGCACCCCTTTGTATTCATTATGGCCTCTTATCCTCTTTTTTCCTGTATTAATCATTTTTGAAACTGATAATGCTTATTTGCTATATTTTGTCAAAACTAAATTTATTGAAAGTAAAAATGTGAAAACTATCACCTTTTTATTCTACATGGCCTCTGTTTTCAGAAAATATATAATGTTCTGGGAGATTAAGTAATTCTATTGGCAAAAATTTTGATTTTTACATGTTTGTGAAAAAGAAAAAAATGTTCTGGAGCCGAACTGGATATGTGTAGCTGCAATGGCCACGTCACGGCGCCCCAGTGTACTGCAGTCCGAACTCCATACATTTCGAAAGTCTCCTGAGTTAGAGCACATATATAATAATGGATAGATTAAGGGCAGGTATGAGGTGGCTGCTGCAGTTTATGCATATATTTGCAAATGTGTGAACACTAAACCCCTTGTTTTTTTAACGTGAACTGTTAGATAGGACAGTTCGGTTTGTTGCAGGCTGGCTGGTAAGTGAGCTGGGAATTTTAGCAATAAAAACTGACAGTGTTTCTAATCCCTCCCCACTCTGTCCAAAACTAAAAAAGTTTTGCCTTTAGTTACAGTATACTAAAGTGATTCTAAAGGCTTACTTTTTCTTTAAATACCAAACATGTCTATACTGGCCTGCTATGTGCAGTGGTTTTTGTATAGAGCAACCCTGGATCCTCCTCTTCTTGGGTCCCCCACCACTTGCTATGGGGGCACCTGTTGCTCCCTGTATCCATTCACACACGGAGCAGCGGCTCGACCCCTCTCTCTTCTCATTGGCTCACTGGCTGTGATTGACAGCAGTGGGAACCAATGGCTCCTGCCTCTGTCTCAGCCAATGAGGAGAAGGAGTCTCCACCAAAAGAAAGCTCTAGTTGTGTGAAGAAAATGATAAAATTTTAGTTTGGGTACAATGTTGTATGTCCGTGCAATTTTCATTCAAAGAGTGAGAGCACTGAAACCTGAAAACTGGCCTGGGCAGGAAGGTGTAAAATTGCCCGGTATTGAATTGGTTAATAACCAATCATCCACCAAAGGTGAGAAGTCACATATAGATAACACAAATCAATGAAAAAGTCCAAATAATCTGGAAGTGCTGGTGCTTTGCAAGATGCCGGAACCTAAAAGGATAAAGTCCTTCACCTTCCACCCAATCACACAGCCTTTTACCAGAGAGTTTGACCTCCCAAAGGACTGGCCAAACAGCACAGTTATCAGGCTCAGCTGATGTATCAAGGACTGGCAGATAGGTCCCCCAGAAAATCCAATGTACTGTATAAGAGGTCCTCCGAATTATATAGCTCTTAGATGGCAGATGTCTCTCCACACATTGAATACCCAAGAGGGAAAAAAGTAACTGCTCATAGTGTAATATGTCAAGAATGCATTAATTTATTAAAAGTATTGCACTTACAATCAGCAGGATTTTCCATGAAAATGGCAACGGTCCGAAGTGACATCACCCGTCGAGGCTCCATCCTTAGGGTGGAGCTTCAATGGGTGACGTCACTACGCACTGCACCCGTAGGGTGGAGCCTCAACGAGTGATGTCACTATGCACCTTGACCGGTCACATTACTATGCACCACACCCATAGGGTGGAGCCTTGACCGGTGACATTACTATGCACCACACCTATAGGGTGGAGCCTCGACGGGTGACATAAATATGCACTGCACCCATAAGGTGGAGCCTCGACGGGTGATGTAACTATGCACCGCTTTGGACCGCGGCCATTTTGATGGAAACTTTCATACAGACATGCTGATGTTTATCCTGCTGATTGTAAGTGCAATACTTTTAATAAATGAATGCATTCTTGACATATTACCCCAAGCAGTTACTTTTTCCCTGTTGGGTATACAATGTGTGGAGACATCAAGAGCTATATAATTCGGAGGATCTCTTATACATTGTCTGGAATTTCTGGGGGACCTATCTGCCAGTCCTTGCTACATCAGCTGAGCCTGATAACCAGTCCTTCTGGTGGTCAAACTCTCCAGTTATGCAGGCCATACATTGTGGAATTCCGAACTATTTTTCATCCGAAAATCGAAAACATTGTTTGCTCGGTAATTCAATGGTGCCATCAATGATTTCGAAAATCGGCCGACCAAGTCCTAAAGTTCACCCCATATAACATGCGAAACGTCTGTTCCTTCCAGGTCACAGCTCACGAGCATATTCTTTTCGGAAAAACGATCATACGTATTGACCATCGAGTCGAAAATCGGTTGTTTTTCACGAGTTTTCCAACATGCCCGATCACCGAAAAGGGGAGGAACCACAAAAATCGTCCGGTGCAATTGACCTACAGAGCGAAAAATCAGTGGTATTTCAATCCATGTATGGCCGGCCTAGGAGGCTGTGTGATTGGTTGGAAGGTGAAGGACTTTCTCTATCCTTCTGGGTTCCGGCATCTTGCAAAGCACCAGCACTTCCAGTTTATTTGTACTTTTTTCATTGATTTGTGTTATCCATATGTGACATCTCACCTTTGGTGGATGATTGGTTATGAATACTAATTACATATATCATCAATTAAGCCCTACATTGATAGTTCTTTGTATTATTATACAGGATTATTTGATGCATGCCTAAACCTCGCCTTACCCATGCATAGCTGATACAGTATCAGGCATGCCAAGAAGCACAGTGCCACAGCACCATGTGGTTTGGTGTGGAATGATTTTGAAACCGGTTCAGGGACTTTGGTGCGTTTCAGGTCCGTAGTTGAAATAAATGGGCTGCCCTACACGTGACATGCGGGAACGCATGGGAAACGCACGGACTTGTTCACACCCGTATGATGTGCGCCTAGCCTACATAACCCGAGCAGGAGTCCTCACTCAGTGGCAGCAATACTTCCATTTCCCTGAACAGAAATCACGAGAATACAAAGTAAAGCAGGCGCCGTGGTTTAGTCTCAGCAGTGCTGTACCCCCGGGTGACCTCTTCCCTCCCTCTAGTACAGGGGGCTCGGTGCCAACTCAGGGAATGACTGACCCACCAGGGTACCCAGCGGAACAGAGAGAGTTAAAGGGGCGGCACCGGGCATGCCGGGAAAGCGGAAGTGACCGTCCTATCTTCCTGTCAGCGGCTGAAGGAGAGAGAGCGGTCATGAGGGTGTTGAACGGTGCCCGGGTCCTCTCTGTAAGATATGGGGAGTGTGGGGGGTGGTGTCCCCGGCCTCTGCCCGGACGGGGGGGGCGGGATAAAGGTCGGGTGAAGAGCTCCGTGTCTGTGCGGCCTGCACCCCCCTGTGTCCGTGTACGGTGACCCTTCTACCCGGGGCGGCAGAGGAGATGACCGGACACAGGAAGGGGGTGTCGGCGGTGACAGGCCGGGCTGAGTGAGGAGTGTATGGGTAGTATGACATGGAGGAGAGTGAAGGTCACCCCTGTGCTGTGTATATGGGGGGGGCACCGGTTCCTTCACTCCTTGTGTACGGTGAGGAGGGCCTGTGTCCGGTGTGTTACAGTGGGAATCAACTCAGAGTTGAACTGTGAACCTGCAGGGGAGCGTATTAGTGGTCTTCCCTGTGGGCACTGCTGTTATCTTCTATAGGTGCACCGGAGAGGAAACATTCACATCGTCCGCAGCCACTCGTGTCATTGTGCGCTCTGCGCTGCCATCGTGACTCCTGTGCGAATGACATCATCGCGGCCTGGCTGGAGAGCGCCAACCCAGAAGGAAGATCAGGCACCGATGGAAGTTCCTGGAGCAGGGACAGCTCAGTGCTGGAGGGCTCTGCTTGATAGTCTGTCATGGGGGAGATTTACTAAAACTGGTGCAGCTGTGCATGGCAGCCAATCTGCTTCTAACTTCAAGTGATACTAAAGTCTTGTTTTTAGTAACAAACATGTCAAACTTACCTGCTCTGCGTAATGGTTTTGTACAGAGCAACCCAGATCCTCCTCTTCTCGGGTTCCCCGATGGCACTTCTGATCTCTCCCTTCTGTTGTGTGCCCCCACAGCAAGCAGCTTGCTATGGAGGCACTCGAGCCGCGGCTCACCAGCCATTCACACACAGTGTCAACTCGGCCCTGTCCCACTCTCCCCTGATTGGCTCACTGGCTGTGATTGTCAGCAGCGGGAACCAGTGACTCCCACTGCTGCCTCAGCCAATCAGGAGTGTCAGTCCCCGGAGAACCGAGGCTCTTGTGAACATCACTGCTGGATCAGGATGGGGCTTAGGTAAGTGTTAAGGGGGATGGGGGGGCTGCTACACAGGTTGTTTTTCTTTCATGTATAGAATTCATGAAGGTAAGAAACCTTGAGCCTTTACAACCATTTCCAGCTTGTTAAGTTTTGACAATAAAACCTGGAAGCTGATTGGCTACCATGCACAGCAGCTCCAGATTCTGTGTGCACCAGTTTTAGTAAATCTCCCCATAATGTGTTAATCTGCAGTGCACGCTAGCACATTGTGGTATAACACTCCAGGGGACTCTTTTACTTTTAGCAGAGTCTACTACAGCTTTAATAAAATTCCCAGCAAGGCAAACACATGGTTTGTAGAGCAGAAGAGAATGAAATCTTTTATTTTATTTCAGGTACTTGTATAGCGCTGTTAATTTATGCAGCGCTTTACATATATATTGTACATTCACATGTCCCTAACCCTCAAGGGGCGGACAATCTCAGGTCCCTAACTCACATTCATACATATACATATTAGGGCCAATTTAGACAGGGGCCAATTAACCTACCAGCATGTCTTTGGATTTACAGATCTCAGGAAACCCTGCTACATTTAATACTTGCAGATCACTTCCTTCACACAGTGCAACGTCTCTCTAGCTGACACAGCAGTCACATGATCTGGAGCCCGTTCCGCAGGCTCCCAATCAGAAACAGTGACCAAGGACTGTCAGAGACAGCTTGGTCATTGTGCTGGGAGCGTACTCTCAGCACACAACTTCAGGCCGCCATGGACACATATGTGCAGCAGCTGGATGTTAAAGTCCACTTTTTTTTTTGCCACTGCATATATGTGTAAGGGGGGTTATTCACAGTGTGCGTACTATACCATATACCCATGCAGGGCTGTGTTTACCCACACAAGGTGTTCTATGCATCCTCATGCAGGCAGCCTCATTGATGTCATTTTAGGAGGCAGCAGCTGCACAGCCACTGTGTCCCAATATGACATCCATGTGGGTGTGTGTCCCCAAATATGTACTGTGTTCAGGAAACATACCTGCACCCAGTAGCATGTCATATTGGACTTGACATCAATGGAATTGCCTGCACGAGAATGAATGGAGCACCTGTATGAGTGAACATGGGTGTATGGCATAGTAAGCCCAGTGTGAATGAGGCCTAAGACTCATTCTTATGTGTGGTAGAAACTGGTGATTGTCTGAAAAGTGATCTAAGCTCATATCGCTTTTCAGAGGTGTTTGGCAGGTAGTGTGGAGGTGATATGTTGCCTTTTCACTGTCTAATTTAATCGCCATACTACTGTGTTCCAGTCATGTGCATTGCACCTAGTTGTAGTACATTTGTTGCACGGCCCCATAGAACTGCATTGGACGCATTCAGCAGCAACATCGCCCGCTGAAGGCAACATTGTATTTACGTATTGCTGCAGCTGTATGTTAGATTCAGGCAGGCAGTAAAACCATGGCTCAAGGTTGTCAGGTTTTATTGTACTCCACCCCCCACCCCCAGGTCACACATGTGAATAAAGCCTTTTACAGTTATAAGTAAATTATACAAATAAAAATGAATTTGGCATACCTACTTTTTTGGCATTCATGTTGGATCATTTAACACTAAAATGCTTTATTTAAAAGTTTTTTTTTTTTTAGCTAACACAATATATCTGTAATAATCATAAAATAAAGCAGAACTGGAGTGCAAATAAATTCCACAAGCAGGCAGATTCTTGCCTGCAGAAGAAACATTGCATTTCCAGAATGAATGAATGTCATTCCCTGGCTGGCCAATCAAGACAGTTTAGGACCTGACACCCAGAAGATTGTATCGAGGGACTTCATGGATGTTGCACCGTTGGAGGAGAAGTACGTTTGTTCAGCTTTAAAAGTGACAAGTAGTGAAAGCAGAGCTAAATTTACTTTTTCCTTCAACCGGCTGCACCCCTTGCATCTTCTGCTGGATGCTGGTCTTCGGCTGGTGCGGGATGACATTACACATGCACAGGAGTCAGTCATCCCAGCTTGCAGGGATTGTCCCAGCAGCGTAAGCTGAGTTGTGTATGCACGGCTCAGTTTACATGTTGGAGAAGACAGCGAGCAAATGGGTAGGTGTATTTTATTGCAGAAAAGACATTGCATGTCTTTGGTTTTCCGGAATTAAAGTTAAATGGTAAGTGGGGATGATTTTTTTTGTTTTTTAGGGGGATTGGTGAAATTCCCCTTTAACCACTTGACCTCCAGAAGGTTTTACACCCTTTATGACCAGGCCATTTTTTGCTTTTCAGCACTGCACTATTTTAACTGGTAATTGCCTGGTCAAAATTAAACACCACAAATAATCGCGCTTGGGTTACAGTAATAGCTGAAAAATAACCATAAAAGCAAAATCCAGCAGCTTACATAATATTGCAGACTACATAAAAAACATGCGGAAAATGGTGCAGCGCTAGTAATAACATAAACCTAAAATTTCAATGTGAAAAATAATACAGTCCCATAAATAAATGGTGCACTTAAGTTGGAAAAGGTGTAATAACAGTCCACCTGTAAAGCCTCAATTGCGCGGTCATGCCACTCTACCCTAATTAAATTTATATAACACAAATAGAGCTTTCGTTTGGTGGTATTTGAACACCACTGGGTTTATTTTTTTTTATTATATATAAATGAAGAAGGCCAAAAATTTTGGGAAAAACATTTCTACTTTTTGATATAAAACATATTCAATTAAAAAAAAATCAAATTGTTTAAAAAATGTTGGCCAAAATGTATTCTGCTACATGTCTTTGGTAAAATAAAATCCCAATAAGTTTATATTATTGGTTTGTCTGAAAGTTATAGCATCTACAAACGATGGCATATATACTGAATTTACGCAGCTTTGAAGCTCTACTGGTAATGATAGTGATCAGTGACTTATAGTGGGACTGTGACAGTGTAGCTAACAATCTGACGCTAACAGACCCTCGCTGGGAGGTACACTAACTGACATTATTAGTGACACTAATACAGTGCTCAGATATAAAACTGTCACTGTACTAATGATGCTGGGAAGTGGCTAACACCTAGGGACAATCAAAGGATTAACTGTGTGTCTAACACATGTAATATGTGCTGCTTTTACTAACTGATCTAGCTGTTTTTTGTCTCCCTGCTTTGCAGGGAGAAGAAACAGCCAGATCACTGCTCTGTTTACAGAGCCTTGTGCTAGTAAACACAGGACTAAGGCTGTGTCTAATCACAGCACAATCAGCAGGTCTCGGCCATAAATCATTGGTGGGACACAGTTGGGGGCATGTGCATGAATGCCCCAGACCAGAAGCAAGCTTGCAACATTTATTTACATTGCTGAGCCTGCACCTGCCACCAGTAAATCTACTGTAACCGAGTGGCAAGAGGTAAAGATTTTGATCTTGTCCAGCAATCACTGTGTACAGAGCGCTTTCTTTAGCCCTCAGGAAACTCTCTCCACCTTGATAGAGCGAGTTGGTTCTGTTTGTCTCAATAAATTCACTGTCATAACTCAGCCTAAAGTCTTACTAAACCCACAACAGTAAAATCAGTCTGTATATGCAGTAAAACATGCTGGTTATACTGACTGGAACCTAGGGGGTTAATCATTGTGTTAAAAAAAAAAAAAAACCCTGTTTGATTCTCTCTTCTCTGATCCTTCCCTTCTTCCACAGTCCCCATTCCATTTGCTGGTAGTACAGAGTCCTAGGAGGCACCCTGCACATGCAGGGTGTGTAGTGCTAGAGAGGTTTTTTTTTTTTTTTTTTTGGGAGGGTGCATGTAATCAACACAGGGCCAGTCGGCGCTGTCCAGACAGAGGGTCAGGGGTCATGCAGCCTCATAGGACTGCCAGAGGAGAAAGTAAATAAAAACACAACACACATTTTTGCCAAGTCCTTTATTAAAAAATTAAAACAAAAACCTTCAGTCCCAACAAAGGTTCCCACCATGTGGCAGCTCTGCCATCTGACAGCCCTTAAAATAACTAAGGGGTGGAGCCATCCTGTGACTTCATCGGGAGACCCTGCCCCCTTGTGACGTCACTGACCCAACAAGACCCAGGTCAGTGAAGTCAAGTGGGTGGGGTCTCCTGGTGACGTCACTGGATGGTCTTGCCCCTTCGTTATTTAAGAGCTGTCAGACGGCAGGAGCCTTCGTCGGGACCAGAGGTTTTTTTTTCTTTTGTTTAATTTACTTTTTTTTGGGTCGGCAGTGATGGCGGGTGTCATGATTGATGGTGGATCTGCACCAGGGGACTTTTTTTTTTTTTTTTTTTTTTTTTTTTTTTTTCTGTTTTTGATTTTTTTTTTTTTTTTTAGTAACTTGTCAAAAACCTGTGTTTTTGTTTTTATTTCTTTTACACTTTTTTTGGTGAAATGAATAGGGGCTTCCAGATTTCAATAATCCCCCACCTCCATAACCAGTGGCCAGGGTTGTGGGGAAGTGGCCATTGTCCTCATCAACATGGAGAAAAGGTGCTTTGGGGGTAGGCCCCCCCCCCCCCCCTTATATATTGAGGACATGTGGCTTGGTATGGTTCAGTGGGTTTGCCAGGTTGTATGCTCGGATAAGGGTCTGGATTTTGGGGGGGGGGACCCCATGCACTTTTTTTTTTTTTTTTGGCCTCTTTAAAATCCATACCAGACCCAAAGGACCTCGTATGGATTGGGATGGAGACCCCCATACGTTTTTTTTTTTTTTTTTTTTTTTTTTTTTATATTGCCAGCAAAATGTTTTTGCTTTTCATTCAGTTGTCAGTGGGGAACCCCGCTGACAGGTGATGACTCATCCATTGACAAGGATGCGGCGGCCGGCTTCCCGGCACTCTCATTGACAACCAATGAAGAAAAAAACTGCTAAACACTGGGCAATGGTATTTAGTAGAGTTTAGGAGCTGTCAGCATTTTTTTTTCTGCCAAAATGCTCTTTCTGCTGCTCTTGGACGCTCTGGACTTGGTTTTTTTTTTCCTGCTGGTAAACGCTACTGCTACTAAAAACCTCTAAAGGTCTGTGTACATGGACACTAAAGCCTAATTCCAGGTTTGAATAAACTCATTAATAGGTATGTTTACTGTCACCGCTGTAAAAACTCTGTGGCATGAATACAAAGCTTTCTCTACTTGGCTGAGGCGGAGAGGCGGGTGAATAATGTCAAGCTCTCCACATCAGCCAATCAGAGGTAGCCTTTTATTCATTCAGAAAATACAAAGCTTCCTCTGGCTGAGAAGTGATTAGCTCAATTTTGTTTCCTGGTGGGGGAGGAAGTTTACACTTCACTGCAAGATATAGCTCTGTATACTGTATGTAGCTCATGCTACATACAGTTTGTACAGTGCTGACAGCAAGTGTTTTTAGTGAAGGCTATAGCTCATTTGGTCCAAACAAACTATTGAAAGGTCAATCATACCTTGAATCAGGCTTTAAAGCAGAATTAAAGTTGAAAAACTAGTTTGTGTAGGTTTTTTTTGTTTTTTTTTTTTTTTTAGTAGAAGAGACTTTGTATGTTTCTTCCACCAAAACAAATTTCCTTTTCCTTTTTTATGGGTGTTTTTTTCTGGTATACTTCCTGTGGTACATGTGCAGAATAGTGTACGCCTTTAGCACCTGGTAAAAACCAAATGCCATGACAATGCAACTCTGTCGTGTTTGTGCAGGAGTTGTATAATTACATAGAAGATGGTGGCAAAGGAGAGCAGGGCCTGTTGTCACTGGAGGAGGGAAAACCCAGAGAAGTCTATCCTAATGTTGGGCACACTACTCTAGTCCTTCTGGGAGGTTTACTGTACAGAAACCAGAGCTGTTTAATTGTGAAACAACTTTTAATTTTGAATGGACCTTGGGATAGGTATACAGGCAAATTGTTCCTGAACATTGTCTATACTTAGATTCCAATACGTAAAGCTGGTTCACTCAGTATCCCGTGCACTTCTGCATAGAGACCAATCTGCTTACTAATTACTAAAGCGTAATTAAACAAGCTGAGGTTAGAAGCTGATTGTCTACCATGCACAGGTGCACGAGACTCTAAGTGAACCAGTTTGTGTTCCACAGTCCCCTTTCAAAAGTAATAAGTTGTAACTTGTCATTTGTTTTTATAGTTATCCTGGGGAGGCAAAACTGCTCCTGAGATGGAAAATGGTTTAATTTTTTAAATTTTCATGATTATTAGTGGTTAGAGAGATTTCAGCATCGACCGAAACCCTTTGATGTTTAATATTACACTTTTATTACAGAGGAGGCTTTATTCAGCAAAAGCAGCCACAAAGCCTGAAGCTGCTGGCAAGGCTCGTCTTCTTCCTGAGGAGCTTGAGGTAAGCTGTTGTACTCACATTTTGTTACTGGTTTTCTGGGTGTAAATCTGCATTATGCATACAGATTTTTTTTTTATTTTCTTTGACTGGGAATTCGTGTCCTTTTACAGGTTCTATGTTTTGATATTTTATATATCTATTATCGGCTTTAGCTCATGATGCTTGCTTGCACATTGTTTTACAGATCACAAAGTTGCCAAATGGGCTGGTTGTCGCCTCTCTAGAAAACTACGCCCCATCTTCTAGGATCGGAATGTTTATAAAGGCAGGAAGCCGATATGAAACCGCCAACAATTTGGGTGTTAATCACGTTTTACGTCTTGCATCCAACTTGGTAAATATCAATCCTAAAGTGATTGTAAATGCTTTTTTTTTTTTTTTTTTTTTACTAAAATATCAATCATGTCATACCTGCACTTTAATGGGTTTACACAGAGTAGCCCTGATACTCCTCCTCTTCTCCGGTCCCGCACAGGCTCTCCTGACTCCTCTGCCCCCTTAGCAAGCCACTTGCTATTTGCTATGGGAGCCGTTGTGTGGGCTTGCTCCTGAGGCCCACTTTGTGCCCATTAACATAAAGCACTGCTGGGCTCCACCCCAAGTTTTCACCTCACTGTGACTGACAGCAGCAGGAGCCAATGGCATCAATTAGGCATATGTATATTACCAAAACTTCTATCTCATTTACTCTAATCTTTATTTCTAGACAACTAAGGGAGCCTCCGCTTTTAAAATTACCCGTGGTCTTGAAGCTGCTGGAGCTGGCTTAAGGTTTGTGTTTGAAAATTACTTTTGAAAGAGAGATTTTTTTTTAGCAATTTAATAAAAGAGAAACTATTTCTAGACGAACTACTGAGATCAGTTAGCCACAAGGAACCATTATACTTGTGTTTTGAACTACTAAATAATGTTTTTTATGCCTTGTGGGTTACAGGTTCATGGGATGTGCTACAGAAATCAAATTTTATTTTTTATAAATGCTATTTACATTTTTGTGTTTTTCTTGAATAGTTCTAGTAATGTTGCTATTCTTGCAGTTACTGTGTGAAGACTGTCTGATAGCCATTTGTTACGTTTGTTTTTCCACAGTGTGACATCAACAAGGGACAACATTGTGTACGCAGTGGAATGTCTTAGAGATGATGTGTAAGTAATTTAAAGTACTTGGGTGTTTTTATTTTTAGATATATGGAAAGTAGAAGATGTCTCCCCCCCCCCCCCCCCCCCCCCCCCCTTGTTTATGAAATATATAAATATGAAATGTGCTGGGTTTTTTATTTTCTTGGAACATGTATATGGAGCATGTACAGTGTTTCATAAAGGCACTGATCTGGGGAAAGCTACCAAAACAAGTGTATTCTGCACTGAAGGTTCCCAAGAGCACAGTGGCCTCCATAATTCTCAAATGGAAGGAGTTTGGAACAACCAGGACTCTTCCAAGAGCTGGTCAGACTGAATGGGAGAAGGGCCTTTAGTAAGAGTGGTGACCATGAACCCAATGATCACTCTGAATGAGCTCCATAGATTTTATATTGAGATGGGACAAAGTTTCAGAAGGACAACCATCACAGCAGCCTTCCACCGATGTGGGCTCCATGGCAGTGTGGCCAGATGGAAGCCTATCCTCAGTGCAAAACCCATGAAAGCCTGTTGGGAGTTTGCAAAAAAGCATCTGAAGGACTCTGACTGTGAGGAACAAGGTTCTCGGTCTGATGAAACCAAGATTGAACTGTTTACCCTCAATTCTAAATGTTCTGTCTGTCGGAAATCAGGCACCTGCCCAATACCATCCCAACGGTGAAGCATCGTGGTGACAGAATCATGCTGTGGGGGTGTTTTTTTTTTTTCCACAGCAGGGACTGGGAGACTGGTCAGGGATGGAAAGCTGAATGGAGCAAAGTACAGAGATATGCTCAATAAAAACCTGTTCCATAGCGCTCAGACTGGGTTGAAGGTTCTTCTTTCAACATGACAAGGATCCTAAACACACAGCCAAGACAATACAGTAGTGGCTTAGGGACAAGTCTGTGAATGTCTTAGAGTGGCCCAGCCAAAGCTCTGACTTGAACCCTATTGAATATCTCTGGAGAGACCTGAAAATGACTGTCTGCTGATGGTCCCCATCCAACCTGACTGAGCTTGAGAGGATTTACAAAGAAGAATGGCAGAAAATCCCCAAATCCAGGAGTGCAAAGTTTGTTGCGTCATACCCAAAAAGACTTGAGGCTGTAATTGCTGCCAAAGGTGCTTCAACAAAGTATTAACCACTTGTCTACCGGGCACTTATACCCCCTTATTTACCAGGCCAATTTTCAGCTTTCAGCGCTGTCGCACTTTGAATGAGAATTGCGCGGTCATGCAACGTTGTACCCATATGAAATTTTTATAATTTTTTTCTCACAAATAGAGCTTTCTTTTGGTGGTATTTAATCGCCGCTGGGCACTTTTTGCGCTATAAACAAAAGTGCAAAATTTTGAAAAAAAAAAAAAAAGTTTTCTATTATAAAATTTTTCAAACAGGTAAGTTTTTCTCCTTCACTGATGTGCGTTGATGAGGCAGCACTGATAGGCAGCACTAATGAGGTGTCACGGATAGGCAGCACTGATAGGTGGCACTGCTAGGCACTGACTGGCACAACTGCTGGGCATTGACTGGCACAACCGCTGGGCACTGGCTGGTGGCACTGACTGGCAGCACTGCTGGGCTGCACTGATGGGCACGGGTGGGTGGCACTGGTGGGCACAGGTGGGTGGCACTGCTGGGTGGCACAGGAGGGTGCACAGGTGGGCGCACTGCTGGGCGAAACTGGTGGGTGGCACTGCTGGGCACCGATCATCAGGGCACTGATGATCGGTGCCGATCCCTGGTCTGACAACTGCCGGTTCTCGACAGCACTTTCCTCACGCTCTGGAGGAAAGTGCAGCCGAGGACCGGCAATTGCATTTCCCAGTGATCAGCGTGTCATTGGACACGGCTGATCACGTGGTAAAAGGCCGCTGTGATTGGCCTTTTACCACATCACGTGATCAGCTGTGTCCATAGGACACAGCGATCACGGAGATCGCCAGGGGGGCGCCCCCGGGGGCACGCAGGAGAGCGCGTTCTGGGAGGACATCATATGACACCCACCCAGAACTGGCTGGCCGCAGTGTAGCCGTCATTCGGCTATCTGTGGTCGGCAGGTGGTTAAGTAAAGGGTCTGAATACTTAAGTACATGTGATATTTCTTTCTTTTTAATTCACAGACGTTTCTAAAATTCAGTTTTCACTTGTCATTATGGGATACTGAGTGTAGATCAAGGAGAAAAAATTAGTTTAAACAATTGTAGTATCAGGCTGCAACATAACAAAAGTGAAAAAGTGAAGGGGGTATAAATACTTTATGAATGCACTGTATATTGTCATATTATGTTTTGTATCTTGACTGTATTCAGCAGGCTGAACAAAAACACTAATCGACTCCTCCATCTACACAAACTAGGTGGACGGAGAAAGCCACCCCATCGGGACATTGTTTTCTGACAGTTGCACCCTCGTCGGAATACACTGATCAACTGCTGCAGCCACTGATTGAGAAAAATGTTTTTACCTGTCCCTTTGACAGACGTCGATTAAATGATTGCCTGTTGTCAAGCAGGGACTGCCACACACTAATCGAAATTTGGTCGGTCTTCGTAACCAGCTGAATTTTAATCCGTTTATGGTCAGCTTTAGTCTTCACATTGCTCCCTATGTGCCTGTAGAATCCTTGGATCCTAAGTGTGGATTGTGCACAGGGCCTTCTGGCTTCAACCCCTTCATTTAGTTTAAATGGAGTGAATTGTAGAGGAACGGGACTTAAACTTAGACGTTAGGACTGAGGCTTAAAGTGGTACTAAAGCTTCCAAATTTTTAAAATTAAAATAACATTATAACAAGTTTCTGTGCATTGGTTCAGCCTCAATCCTTCTTTTTCTGGGGTCCCCTGCCAACGCTCTTGGCTCTTCTTCACCGTGCACTGCCATAGCCCCGCTGTTTTCACTTTGTATCCTCTCTTCCAAACGTCAATATCTTTACTATTGGCAGCCAGGTGTAACACTTTTTGGCTTCACAGCCGGGTACCCACTGTGCATGCACGGCACTGTGAATGGTCCTGCAGTTTTCTTGGACCTGTCACATGTCCCAGAAGACTGAAGGGGGGGGTGGATTACATCGCGGAGGACTTCCGATCGGCTAGGCGGTGGGAGCGGGAGCCTGTCAAAATCCGGTACCCACTCACACCCACCCCCAAAAGCTCCATTTCACAAACAGGAGCAGGGGAGGAGGTCTTAAAGCTGAACTTCCCCTTTTGAGGCATGCATCCAAGGCGCTACACTGAGATTTCATTTAAAACTGACACTAGTGCCTTTTAGATACTGTTTAGACCATGTCAGGTTCACTTTAGCAGATATAATAGAGCATTGTTTCTTTGGAATTTTCTGGGTATGCTCTGCTTGTTTTTTCCAAAGCAGCAGAAAAATGGTTGTCCATAAAGTGCTTTATCAAAACAGACTGTGGCACTTAACCTGGATTTTATTTATTTATTTTTAGGCTAGGCCAGTGTTCAAGCAAACTTAGGCTTTCCTAATTTTAATATGGATATTAAGGCCATATTTTGTTTGCTTCAGATTTCTAAGGTGTATTTAACACAATGTTCAACTTGCTTAGGGCAAGTGGCAGTTTGAAGAGCATTTTAGCCAGCAAGTATTTGTGAATTATTTATCAAAGCTTTCTGCAATTTTCAGCAGTTTTGTTGAGGCCCTCAAAGCACTGTTCAGCACAGATCTTATTGGGTGCACAGGCTTTCATTTGTGATGTAACTCCAAGTCATGCTGAGGTAACTGCACATACCTTCATACAGCTTCCCAACAGCCCTAGAATCCTAGTGTGCTTCCATACTCAACCATGTGCCTTTTTGGTGAAAGTGGTGAAGGAAAGTTCACCTGAAATTCATACTTTTTCTGTTTCATTGATTCAAAGTACTGAAGCTACTGGATCAGCATGACCAGCACATAACAAGAATGTTAGGATAAGGGTTGGCAATACTGGCTGCTTACTTTCCTTAATACTCGTTTCTTCCACACCGGCCCAATAACACACCCAAAGAAGCCAAGTTTTTTTTACATGGAGGGTCAGTTCACACTACATGCGTTTTTTTTTTTTTTTTTTTTTTTTTTTTTTTTTTTTTTTTTTTCTGCATGGACAGAAAGAAGTTTATATGGTTGTCAATGTCATAGTTCATATCAGTGCTTGCAGTTCCAGTGCGTTCCAGTTGCAGAAAAAAAAAAAAAAGAAGTAGAACAGACTGCATTTTTCCTGCACAGAACTGTACTGGAATGTGGTGGAATGCACATGTCCCTATTTAAATTGAAGAAAAAGCGAGGGTAAAAAAACATACCGGAACACATCAAAAATCACCGGAACGTTTCGAGACCGTGCATCTGGAATGCTTTTCTTTGGTGTGAAGCGGCCCGGAGGGTTCGGCAAATGTCTACATAAAAGTGCAGGCTTCCTTTTTAAAGGTTTAGGTTAATTTTTTTTATGTGGAAACTTGCAGAAAAAAATGTGAATATATTTTCTCCTGCAGGAGCCTGGAAAGCATTTCAAAAGTGATCAGGGGTGCAATGTCCAGTTTCTGCAGACAATCCCTGCAGCTTTCAGCCTGTACCTGTATATGGGCTATCATTTTGAAAGCTGCAGGGTTTGTGAATGAACTACCAGGGCACTCATCAGTGCCCTCACAGTTCATTCAGAACTACAAACCATCAGCCATGGTGGATAACCATAGTTGTAGTTCATTCATTCACAGGAAAGTGTAAACGAATGACACAGCCATGGGGGGAGCCCTGCACAGCAGCACTGTTTTTGAATTGTGACAGTGGGTGCGGGGAGAAAATCTGGCAGCAGGAGATGGAACATGTTGCATGTTCCACCCTAAATATGGGTGTGACGTGTTCCAAAAATGTAACTTCTCCTTATCTATCGTATTCAGAACACTGGGATCTTTAGGCTTTCCTATATAAATCTTCTTATAAATAAATGCACAACTCCAGGCTCATAAATGTATTATTTTTCTATTGGCTTATATAAATCCTGTTTAATGAAACAATTTTTTTTCTGAGCTCTAGCTCTACTGAGCAGCTGCTGAAATGTGTCAACCACATTTCTGACTTCCAGCCCTATTAGAACTGTTTCTAATAAATAAAAATGTTCCAGTGCTTTTACCTCTGCCCCTACCTTTCCATAGTCCTTAGCAAAACACAGCCACATTGTCCTCACCTCATGCCTTAATGGTTGATAATTCTGTACTAATATAATGGCTTTCAATTATAACCAATATATCAGATGAATGTACAGACACTACTACAAAAGAATTTGGGATTTGATTTCCTTTATTTTTTTAGGGATACTGTAATGGAATATCTCATTAACATCACTACTGCCCCAGAATTCAGAAGATGGGAGATCGCTGAACTTGCGGACAGAGTAAAGACTGATAAGGTTTTGGCTTTCCAAAATCCACAAGTTGGTAAGTAGTAAGTTATTTTTTTTTATTTCTTTTGATATTTTGTAAAGTGTATTTTGTGCATAAAATAAGTTAGTGTTAAGTGTTTGATGTGAAGTGTTGTGTTTTTTTTTTTTTTTTTTTTCGTTCTACAGGTATCTTGGAGAACCTTCATGCTGCTGCTTACCGTAATGGTCTTTCTAATTCCTTGTTCTGTCCTGACTACAGAATTGGAAAAGTTTCACCAGATGAGGTAACAATTTTGTCACTTTGCAAAAAAACAAATCTAAAGGCTCAAATCACAAAGCAGTAGTGTGTGCGTTATTTGGATCACGTGACTCATTTGATCCAAATCTCATGCAATATTGAAAACCTCAATTCATTATCAGATTGTGTGGGATTTTCCAGAAAAATAAGAAGTGCATAGTAAATACCTCATAAAGCAATCTAAGTCAGTTAACTAAAAAAAAAAAAAATACATGAGTTTTTAGGAAGTAGTGGTCTAGCCATACACTTTTTTAATAAATATATAAAATGAATAGTTGGTTGTTAAACTGCTGGCGTGCTAACTACCGCTCACCCCTGCACATCTCATTCAGCATACAGATGAGCATAAACAAAGGAGCTGGCGTGGGGATTCCCCCACAATCGATACCCAACCCTTTGAGTCTTGTATAAATTTTCAGAGGGACCCAATGCCAAAAAATTCCAAAAGCAAAAAAAACAATTGTGTGAGGTTGCCCTCAAAATCCATTGCAGACCCTTAACCAAGCACTCAGCCTGGCAGGCAAGCAAAGGAGGGGGGACGAGTGTGCAAACGTTGTACTTTGTGTACGCATTTTCTTAAAGTGGAACTTAACTGTGGAAGAAGGCTAATAGGAGAGAGAAAAGTAGCCGCAACTATTGCCTGAGGGCTCACTGTAGCTAATATTTTGCCCATGACTGACTTGGTATGCCATGAAAGTACTATGCATAAAATGAGCAGTTCATGCAAGAAAACCCACAGACAGGTAGGATAAAACATTTCTGAGTCAATGTCTGAGAATGGTGAAAGTTATGCAAAACAAAGCGGGTAATTCCAGCCACTAAGGCCAAGGGTGTATGCTTATTCCACAGTACACAATAACATCTATTCCTAAAGATTTTCCCTGTGCTTTTACTTAAGTATGTAACCTTTTATCTGTTGACACTATTTGAAAGAAGAGGTAAATGTCCATAAGGTGTACTTATTTCACATGACTGCATAAAGCTGTAGTCACAGGAGTGCCTAGGCACCCACAAATAACAGGAAGTGCACTGATTATTTTTCAGGGGAATTTCAAAACCAAAGGAAAATTTTTCAGGGTTCTGCTTAGGCAAGATTAAGTGAGTGACTCTGGAAAATAGTACATTATGGCCACTAGATGGAGATGATGATCATAGGAAATATTTACTTATTTAAAATAGATGTAAAGTTAAATTAGTACCACACTGATGCCATACAATAACTTTACAAACAATTCCCAGAGATGGAGCATTTCTTAACATGCCTAGGCTATAATTGTCTTGTGCAAAATACAAATCTGTTTTTGCAGACAGAGAAAAGAAGAGAAACTTAATGTGCAGCGGATGCTTTAGAATATTTTTCAATGTTTTTTTTTCAGCTGCAGCAGTACGTGCAGACTCATTTCACAAGTGGAAGACTGGCCTTTGTAGGTTTAGGTATGTAAATTGTGAGGATTGCATTTTTTGTGGTCATATCTATTTGATAGACTTTTGGTGGGACTTCAGTTTTCCTGAAATTTTTTATTTGCAGAACATATCCAGAGGATCTGGTGTGCAAATCTAATGCTGTCAAGATCATGCACTTTAACCACTTGCCATCCATGGCAAATTTAGTGTTCACATGTTTTGAAATGTTTCACATACATGTTAAAATCTTCAATTTTTGCTAGAAAATTACTTAAAACCCCCAAACATTATATTCTTCTGAAAACTGAGGTCCTGGTGAATATAATTGTGGTTATTGCAATTTTTTTTTATTTTGCGCAGCTATTTATCAAATGCAAATTTTCAGGAAAAAATACACTTACTTGAATTTTAGTACACACGAACACAATATAATACCAGTTTTTTGGTAGTCTGTGAAAGATGTTGCACCCAGTAAATAACAAAAATGTCAAGATTTAAAATTAGGCATGCATGTGAAATGGCAACTAACTACCGTGCCTAAAATGATCCATAGGCTACGCTTTAAAAGCCTTTACAGCTTAGAGTTAAACATGAGCTCTGGTACTAGAATTTTTGTTCTCACTCTGACATTTGCAACAATACACTGTTTAGATATGTGTGCTGAAGCTATGACCGCGTTTGCATTTCCAGAGAGAAAATGGGGTGCTTAAATTGTTTTTTTTTTTTTTTTTTTTTTCTACACACTTTTTTAAACCATGTTTTGGTTTTTTTTTTTTGTTTAAAATTCAACTTTAATGCTATCACAAGGAATGAACAACATATCCCTTGTGATAGCTTTGACAGTGACCAATACTGTTTATGGAGAGATCTGCGGTCTTTTAAGACCCCTGATTCCTCCTCTACCCTTCAAAGCATCTGAACAAACACAGGGAAACACAGCACCAAAACTGGAAGTGAAGAAATCCTCGTCTCTTTCTATGTCGTTTGTCACAGAAAAGATCGGGGAACGAATCCTCCATCTGCATGCCCATGTGGGCAGCCAAGCCAGCAGCTTGCAGTGATATAACGGTGGAACAGGAGAGCCTTGAAATGTCAGTGGCAGGACTGGCGACCCCTTCAGAGCCCTGTAAGTGATTGGTGACTGTGAAGCCACTCAAATCACTTTAGCTGAAAGCCAGTTGTTAACCAGGATCATGGCTGCAGCTTCATAGCTGTGAGTAGTTGGAGTGATTTTTGTTTTGTAAATTAGTAAATCGTATTAAAGTGGTAGTAAACTTTAGTGGGGGGAAAAACAAAAAACGTTCTCCCTGCAAGGTAATGTCATAATGTGCTAGTATGCTTCGCATGAGCACCTTATGAAAGACTTGCCTTAGAACGAAGCCCTCCAGCGGCGCACTGTTACCGCTGAAAGGTCTTCCATCATCACTCGGTCTTCCTTCCAGGTCTGCAGGCTCTGGCTGCTTAATTGGCTGAGCTGCGATGATGTCACTTCCATGCATGCAGCAGTCTCAGTTGCGGCACAGAGCTCTGAAGGAACAGCACGGGTATGTTCCTCCAGAGCGCATGCATTGGTGAACTCACCAGCTGCAAGGACACTAACTGTGCATATTTAGGAGATATTCCTTGCACCTACAGGTAAGCTTTATTATAGCTTACCTGTACATACAAGTGTCCAGTGGGAGTTTACTCCAACTTTAATAATCAATCACTTTAACTGGTCATTTTTAGGTGAATGATGAAGAAAATGTTGGTCTGTTTTTATGAAATGCAATAAATCATAGAATGTTTTATTCATAGGTGTCAGTCATTCTGTCCTTAAACAAGTTGGAGAACAGTTTCTTAATGTCAGAAGTGGTGCTGGTCCTGCAGCTGTCAAAGCTCAGTATCGTGGAGGTACGTAGGTTTCATTTTTTGTGTTCTTCGGCATTTCAGTAGGTTAAATGCCTTGCAAATGCTTTTAGATCTTCCAGATTTAGCAGTTTACTGGCAAATTCCTGTGTACTAAGTTTTTTGGTAACACAAATTTGTGTCAGAGAAGCAGACACCACTCCAGGTGAGACATAATCATGTAATCCCCTTTCTGAACTACAGGGTGCCGGTCCAGTCCGTGATCTAAACATTCCAAGCAAATACAAAGAGAGGTTGACCACACTTCAATCTTCATAAAAATTGTGAACTTTTATTGATAACGTCCAAAAAATACAGGCATCGCAGACCCAGGATACAGGAAAGTAGCAGCATGGTTAACAATGGTTAATCATGTTGCTGCTATCTTGTATCCTGGGTCTGTGATACCTGTATTGTTTGAATTTTAGCAATAAAAGCTTGCAATTTTTCTGAAGATTTGAAGTGTGGTCAACCTCCTTTTTGTATTTGCTTGGAACAAAAATTAATGTGACGCCTCCAGTTGTCAAGCCAGGATATCTGTTTATAAAAAATGGAACTGTTCAGATGCTAGCATTTTCCCTAAACTGATAGATACAGTGGATATAAAAAGACTCCAGACCCCTTTTAACAATGTCAGGTTTCTGTGATGTAAACAATTGGGACAAAGATAAATAATTTCAGAACTTTTTCCACCTTTAATGTAACCTATAAACTGTACAACTCAGTTGAACAGCAAGAATGAAATCTTTTAGGTGGAGGGAAGTAAAAATGAAAAAAACTAAAATAATATGGTTGCATAAGTGTGCACACCCTTAAACTAATACTTTGTTGAAGCACCTTTTGATTTTATTACAGCACTCAGTCCTTTTCGGTATGAGTCTATTAGCATGGCACATCTTGACTTGGCAATATTTGCCCACTCTTCCTTGCAAAAACATTCCAAATCTGCCAGATTGCGAGGGCATCTCCTGTGCACAGCCCTCTTCAGATCACCCCACAGATTTTTGATCGGATTCAGGTCTGGGCTCTGGCTGGGCCATTCCAAAAGTTTAATCTTCTTCTGTTGAAGCCATTCCTTTGTTGCTTTGGATGCATGCTTTGGGTTGTTGTCATGCTGAAAGATGAAGTTCCTCTTCATGTTCAGATTTTCTAGCAGAAGCCTGAAGGTTTTGTGCCAATATTGTTTGGTATTTGGAACTTTTCATAATTCCCTCTACCTTGACTAAGGCCCCAGTTCCAGGCGAAGAAAAAACAGCCCCAAAGCATGATGTTGCCACCACCATGCTTCACTGTGGGTATGGTGTTCTTTTGGTGATGTGCAGTGTTGTTTTTGCGTCAAACATATCTTTTGGAATTATGGCCAAAATGTTCAACATTGGTCTCCTCAGACCATAACACATTTTCCCACATGCTATTGGGAGACTTCAGATGTGTTTTTGCTAAAGTTAGCCGGGCTTGGATGGTTTTTCTTTTGTCTTGCAACTCAACCCCATAGCCCAGACATACTAAGAATACAGGGAGATTGTTGTCACATGTACTACACAGCCAGTACTTGCCAGATCTTCCTACAGCTCCTTTAATGTTGCTGTAAGCCTCTTAACAGCCTCCTAGACCAGTTTTTCTTCTCGTCTTTTCATCAATCTTGAAGGGACGTCCAGTTCTTGGTAATGTCACTGTTGCGCCATATTTTCTCCACTTGATAATGACTGTGTTCCATTGTGTATCTAATGCCTTGGAAATTCTTTTGTACCCTTCTCCTGACTGATAGTTTTTAACAATGAGATCCCTCTGATGCTTTGGAAGCTGTCTGTGGGCCATGGCTTTTGCTGTAGGATGCGACTAAGAAAATGTCAGGAAAGACCTACTAGAACGGCTGAACTTTATTTGGAGTTAATCAGAGGCACTTTAAATGATGGCAGGTGTGTACTGACTCCTATTTAACATGATTTTGAATGTGATTCCTTAATTTTGAACACTGCTATATCCCCAGTTATAAGAGGGTGTGCACACCACATTATTTTAGGTTTTTATGTTTACTCCCCTCCCTAAAAGGTTTCAGTTTGTTTTTCAATTGAGCTGTACAATTTATAGGTCACATTAAAGGTGGAAAAAGTTCTGAAATGATTTATCTTTGTCCTTTTTTTTTTTTTTTTTTTTTTTAACATCACAGAACCCTGACATTTAACGGGTGTTTAGATTTTTTTATATCCACTGTAGATGTTGTACGTTACAGAAGCATTAATTGAGAATTTGGTGATAGCTGTGTACTTTCCAGCATACAGGAGTATTTTAAGAGTGCAGATCAAGGGTAATCCCATAGTAACCACTCTAAGTTTTTTTGTTGTATCTTTCAGATTTGCCTTGCTAAATTGTATCTGAAATCTGGTAGCTGTGCAGAGTACCCCAACATTTTTCTTTTATAATATATATGTTTTTCTAACAGTACATGTTTTCATTATCTATAAAGAGCCATATTCTCCCTGTGCTTGTGTGGGATTCCTCAAATTGTCCATAGGCATGCTGGTGGGTTAAGTTGATTGTCTAAATTGGCACAAATATGTGTGCATAAGAGCTAGGGACCTTAGCTTGTCTTAGATCTCTTTGAAGGCAGGGAGTGTGAATGTACTGTGTGTGTGTATCCATCTCTGCGATAAATAAGTTATAACAGGCTAGTTAGACCGTAGGTTTGCCTATACTTCCTACAAGTGCAGTACCTGAAAACAATTTTCTTTCCCTGAATATGAATGAGCAACTATTAGAGGTCAGCATGAGTCAGAGGCTTCCAGCTTTTTGAGATGTCATCGCAGAAAGTTATGGGTTGGGGAAAAAGACTAATGGTATGGTTATACCCTAGCAATGTAGGGGCCATGTGTTTACCATTTTATCCTTTTTGCTTCTTCTGTAAAAGTTGAAAATCTGAGGGGGACATGGTCTGGATATTGCCGAGTGAGGATGCACTGTTCCTGAGCTCCTGCACCTGACCTATTTGCTGCCAAACCTTGCTACAACAACATATCATGCTCTCAGTCAAGAAGAAGAGGGTGAAGGGGACACAGGCATCCCGGGGACCCAACCCAAAGACCGAGATAAACCGTTTTTTTTCCCAGAGACTGGCTGTCGGGACTCACACTAATATGGCGGCGACACGTTGCACGCCAACTGTCTCGCCTTCTGGGTCCATATCCCGGCCATCTTCTCCAACCCCGGACACCTTTGACGTGTATGTCAACCTTCCTGAGGCTTTCTCTGTGGACTGCCCAGATCCCGTACCCGCACATACCACTCCTGCAACTCCGCCCACGGCAGATGATCTCCGGGCACTTATCCAGGCACTCCCCACTAAGGCCGACATTGAGGCCCTCGTTACACGGGCGGAGGACACGCATCGCAGGGAACTCGGACTTGTGCGCTCAGAGATGCACACTCTGGCCGACCGCCTCTCCACGGACGAGCAGTCTGTGGTTGCTGTGGACCTTTGGGTGTCGGCTCTGGAGAACACGCAGGTGTTTAACGTAGCCGCGGTGGTAGCTCTGCAACTATATCTGGAGGACCGGAGCCGTCGCAATAACCTGAGGCTTCGGGGCCTCCTGGAGGCCACAAGACCTGTTCACCTTCGAGACACGGTCACGGCTATCTTTCATAATATTCTGGACGTTACCCCTCCGGCCGACCTGGAGATGGACAGAGTGCACAGGACGCCTTCTGATCTGAATTGCCCGAGGGATGTAATCTGTCGACGGGCAAGGAAGGGATGTAATCTATTCTACATAAAGCCTGGCTACAGGGGGACACAGATTTTGATGAGGTTTCCATCAAGATCTTGCCTGACATCTCCTGGGCTACCTTGCAGAGACATGCCTTACTTATCCCTCTTTTGGATAAGATCCATCATGCTGGCTTGACCTACCGCTGGAGATACCCGTTGATCATCTCTATGCGGAAGGGGCCTCACTTCTTTACCTTGAGATCCGCAAAAGACTTACCGGCGCTCTTTTCCTTCATGGAGGTGGACCCAATTGTAGTGCCTGACTGGCTGCAGCTCCTGCCCTGGCAATTGGGTGGGCCTTCCCCATTGGGCTTTCTACCCGGCCTTCTGCCTAGACAACGTCGCAAACCCCACTCACCATCTACTGAGGGTCCATGTGAGTCCTGACCTACCTATTATTATTATTATTATTATTATTATATATATTTTTTTTTTTTCTTGAGTCTGGCTTCCCCGTCTTCTGGACTAATTCTGGACTAATTGACGTTGTACCGTGGAAAACCTGCTGAACCTGTTATTTGCTCTGTCACTAATGCTAGGCCTTGGCCGTGTGTGACTGCCTTTAATGCCAGACGGGTCTTATACATAATGCCGGAGCTTTGTCTGCTCTATAGTGTACCGGCTATAACCCCTCATGATCTCCCCACATCATGCTCTTAGGCCTGGGTTATATCGCTTATTTGTCTTTTGACTCTTTATCATTTCAGAAGGGCTTTGTACCTTAATGTTTCTTTTCTGTGGAGGGAGGGGTCCTGTCCTTCCTGGCCATATACCGGGGGTGCCATGTGTTGAAAACCCTAGGCTCATTGTATTTGTTTGGGGGGGCCTGGGAGTTCTAATGTTTATACTGCTGTTCGGGTGGTGGGGGTACTCCTGCTCCCACTACGGTCTGGGGGGCCGTCCCTACCCCATTGGTTTGGGTCCTGAGCTGTCCTCGGGGGATATGTTTGTTTGCTGGTCCTGCAATGTTTTTGTGTACCAGGTTGGGAGCTCCACCTTGGACTGGCTAGGGAACCCTGGGAGGCGGTGGTTGGCTTGCCTCGGGTGCTCTTTCTGTCTGCCCCTGGGGCCTCGGCTGTACGAGGGGGGAACTATTAGAGTGCCTTACTGTTCTGCTCACTGTATAGTTTGTACTTCATGTTCCCCTTTTTTACACTTGTGATGTTACCTGTTTTTTTTTTTTCTACATTACTATGGGATCTTCCATTGTAATTGTTGTAACTCGACTATTTTATTTTCA